ATCTGTCCGTCCGTCCATTAGCAATTTGGTTTCCGGAGCATAACTTAAGTTCCATTTGGCCCACAATATTCAAACTTCATAGGATGATTGTCAATATTGGGTAGAAGACCCCAATTGAATTTGGGGTCACAAGGTCAAGGTCACTATTACCTTAAAACTGAAAACAGTTTTCAGAAAATAACTTAAGCTCCATATGGCCCACAGTGTTCAAACTTCATAGGATGATTGTCCATATTGGGTAGAAGACCCCTATTGATTTTGGGGTCACAAGGTCAGAGGTTAAGTGAAGGTCACTATTACTTTAAAACTGAAAACAGTTTCCGTAGCATAACTTTAGATCTTTTTGGTCCACAATATTCAAACTTCATAGGATGATTGTCCATATTGGGTAGAAGACCCCTATTAATTTTGGGGTCACAAGGTCAAAGGTCAAGGTGACTATTACTTAAAAACTAAAAACAGTTTCCAGAACATAAGTTATTTTCTATTTGACCCACAGTGTTCAAACTTCATAGGATGATTGTCCATATTGGGTTTTTGGGTCACAAAGTCACAGTTCAAGTTTGCTATTACACAGTTTCCAGAGCATAACTTTAGTTCCATTTGGCCCACAATATTCAAACTTTATAGGAGGATTGCTATTTGAAGGAGGTAATACTTTATTTAATTGATGTAATGTCTTACAAATACTTCATCCTTACTTAAAAAAGACAAACACTTTCGGGCATATAATGCTCTGCCTAGCGGTGCTCTTGTTCAGTTTTGTTAGAGATATTGCTCTTGACTTAGTATAAATTTGCAATTTTCAACTTGTTCATGCATACCTCAAAAAGTATTTGACCTGCAGGCCTGAAAGTTTACAAGAATGTTGGTCAGCATGTGTACTTATGTACCTTGGTTTTTGTGGATTTATTCAATATTTGTAAAGTTCTTGCCCTTTACTTAGTAAAAGATATTTAGTTTTCAACTTGAGGCGCATGTAGCTCAAAAATATTTGACCTATAGTCATAAGATTGACAAAATATTGGAGTGTGGGGGCACCCGTGTCCATTGGACACATTTCTAGTTATACCCCCGAAACGAAATTTGGGGGGGGGGTTATAGGAGTCACCCAGTGGTCGGTCGGTCCAGCGGTTCGTTGCATTTTCCTTGTACGGAGCATAACTTGAAGACTAATGGTTGGAATTCAATATAACTTCATACAATGGTCAAGCACATTGAGGGAAAGTGCAGTGCACAAGAACCATAACTCCGTCTTTACTGTTTACAGAGTTATTGCCCTTTGTTACTTTTCCTTGTCCAGAGCATAACTTGAAAACTACTGGTTGGAATTCAAAACAACTTCATACAATTGTCAAGCACAATAAGGGGAATGGCAGTGCACAAGAATCTTGACTAATTACAGAGTGATTGCCCTTTGTTACTTTTCCTTGTCCGGAGCATAACTTGAAAACTACTTGTTGGAATTCAATACAACTTCATACAGTTGTCAAGCACATTAAGAGGAAGTGCAGTGCACAAGAACCATAACTCCATTTTGACAAATTACAGCCTTTTGATACTTATCCTTGTCCGGAGCATAACTTAAAATGTACTGGTTGAAATTCAAAACAACTTCATACAATGGTCAAGCACAATAGGAGGAAGTGCAGTGCACAAGATCTATAACTCTATCCAGAGTAATTATAGAGTTATCGCCCTTTGTTACTTTTCCATTGCTTTTTTCATGTCCAGAGCATTACTTGAAAACTGCTAACTCTATTTGGACTAATTACAGTTATTGCCCTTTGTTATTTTTTGTCCAGTGCATAACTTGAAAACTGGTAGTTGGAATTCAATACAACTTCATACAATGGTCAAGCACAATGAGAGGAAGTGCAGTGTACAATAACCATAACTCCATCTTCAGTATTTATAGAGTTATTGCCCTTTGTTCCTTTTCCTTGTCTTTCTGGACTTATTAACAGAGTAAATCAATAAAATTTCATTAATAGCCAACCACATTGAAAGGAAATGCAACATACAAGAAACACAACTATCTTTATTTGCCCACAACCATAACTCTATTTCAATTCTTTTACAAGGTATTCTGTTACTAGTAACATCCTCAATTCCGAAGCTGTCTTGTGGGGGTATTAATCACATTTAGTGATAGTTCTAGTTTGATATCATTTGACGTACTTTCTTGTTTTTTGACATACAGACTTGAGACTCGGAATGTTCAGAAATTTCTTAGATGAGTTTGAACATGGGTCATCTCGGATGAAAATTTTTAGAAGGCTTAAAATAGAAAAAACCTTGTTAACAGTAGTGGCTTTTGTTTTTGATCCCAATATCCTTCAAATAAGTCAGAAAGTATGTTTTGATGATTTCTAGGTCAAGTCCGAACATGGGTCACCTGCAGTTAAAAACTTGGTCACACAGCCCAAATATAGAAAACCTTGTTAACACTCTATGGGCTACTGTTCCAATCCAAATATCCTGGAAATTGGTCAGAAAGGTTGGTGTTATAATGATTTTTAAGTTAAGTTCAAATATAGGTCACTTGGGTTCAAATTAGGTCACACAGCCCTTATTTGGAAAACCATTGTTTACACTCTTAGAGGTTACTGTTTTAATCCAAATATCCTGGAAATTGGTCAGACTGGTTGTTTTGATGATTTCTAGGTCAAGCTTGAATATGGGTGACCTTGGGTTAAAAACTAGGTCACACAGCCACAATATGTAAAACCTAGTTAACACTCTAGAGGTTACTTTTTTGATCCAAAAGTCCTTGAAATTGGTTAGAAAGGTTGTTTTGATGACTTTTAGGTCAAGTTCTAATATGGGTCATCTTGGGTCAAAACTCGATCACACAGCCCAGATATGGAAAACCTTGCTAACACTTTAGAGGCTTCTGTTTTGAACTTAATATCCTGGAAATTAGTCAATAAGGTTGTTATGTTTAATTCTAGGTCAAGTTCGAATGTGGGTCACCTGGGTCAAAAGCTAGGTCACAAATCGTAAATATTGGAAAATCTTGTTAACACTTAATTGGCTACTGTTTTGATCCAAATATCCTGGAAATTGGTCACACAGGGTTTTTGATGATTTCTAGGTCAAGCTTGAATATAAGTGACCTGGGGTCAAAAACTAGGTCACACAGCTCAGATATGGAATGCCTTGCTAACACTTTATGGGCTACTGTTTTGAACTAAATGTCCTGGAAATTAGTCAATAAGGTTGTTATGGTGATATCTAGGTTAAGTTTGAATATGGGTTGCCTGGGTGACAAAAACTAAGTCACACAGCATAAATATTGGAAAACCTTGTTAACACTAATACTTTAGGGGCTACTGTTCTAGTCCAAATATCCTGGAAATTGGTCTGATAGGTTGTTTTGATGATTTCTAAGTCAAGCTTGAATATATGTTACCTTGGCTCTAAAACTAGGTCACACAGCCCTTATATGGAAAAACCTTATTTACCCCCTAGAGGCTTAACTGTTATGATCCAAATATCCTGAAAATTGGTCAGAAAGGTTGTTTTGGTGTTTAGTAGGTAAAGTTAGAATATGGGCCATATGGGATTGAGCTTTCATAATCACTAAATCTGGTGAGCAATATAAGGGCCATCATGGCCCTCTTGTATTCCCTTTAAATGTTTCTATTAGCATGTTGTAAGATCATGCAGTGTTTAAAAGTCACTGTAGCATGTGCCTTTAAACTAATGATATACAAATTTTAGATAGAGCTTACTTAGTATAAATATTTAGCGGAGTAAAGGGTATTAACATTTACTTCATTTTTATGCCACCACAGCATCTGCAATGCGGTGGCATATAGCGATTCACCTGTGTGTTTGTGTGTTATATAGATTATATAGTGAACTTAAAAAATCTTCTTGTGAAAAACCACTAGTCCAATTTCAACCAAACTTGGCAGGATTGATCCTTGGGTTAAGGGCTTCCAAAGTTGTTCAAAGAATTTCATTCCATACAGAAATCTGGTTGCCATGGCAACCAAAAGGAATTATAAGAATAAATTTAAAAAATCTTCTTGTAAAGACCCAAAAGGCCTAGAGCTTAGATATTTTGCATAAGGCATTGTCTGGAAGACCTCTACCAAGATTGTTCAAATTATAGCCCTGGGGTCAAAATCGGCCCCGCCCTGGGGGTCATTGATTTTCACTATATGTATATATAGTAAAAATTTAAAATACCTTCTTGTAAAGACCCAAAAGGCCTAGAGCTTAGATATTTTGCATAAGGCATTGTCTGGTAGACCTCTACCAAGATTGCTCAAATTATAGCCCTGGGGTCAAATCGGCCCCACCCTAGGGGTCATTGATTTTCACTAAATGTACATATAGTAAAAACTTAAAATACCTTCTTGTAAAGACCCAAAAGGCCTAGAGCTTAGATATTTTGCATAAGGCATTGTCTGGTAGACCCTTACAAGATTGTTCAAATTATAACTCTAGGGTCAAAATGGGCCCCGCCCCGTGGTCATTGATTTTCACTATATGTACATATAGTAAAACCTTGAAATACCTTCTTGTAAAGACCCAAAAGGCTTAGATATTTTGCAGAAGGGATTGTGTGGTAGACCTCTACCCAGATTGTTCAAATTATAGCCCTGGGGTCAAAATCGGCCCCGCCCCGGGGGTCATTGGTTTTCCTTATATGTATATAGTAAAAACTTATAGTAAAAACTTCAGAAAAATTTCTTTTAGCAATTGACAAATGCTAGAGGTTAGATATTTTGCATGAAGCATTGTGTAGTGAACCTCTAGCAAGATTGTTCAAATTATAGCACTGGGGTCAAAATTGCCCCCGCCCCGGGGGTCATTGACTTTCAATATATACATAATAGTAAAAAATAAAAAATTCTTATTGTCTGATACAAGGCTTCAAAAACTTAAAATACCTTCTTGTAAAGACCCAAAAGGCCTAGAGCTTAGGTATTAATGCGGTGGCATAGCATTTTTTTCAAATGCAATCTAGTCTTTTCTACATATAGGAACTGCTGTTGGGGCTGTATGTGCGCAAAGTATAGGAGAACCAGGCACTCAGATGACACTGAAGACATTCCATTTTGCTGGTGTAGCCTCAATGAGTATCCTTGATTATAATCTATAATCTTCTTGCAGGAAGTGAGAAAATCTTCTGTTCCTACACTACCATTAAGTGTTGTTTTAATGCGGTTTTTCACAAATGCAATCTTGTTACACTTTTAATTTTGTCAGGGACATAACTATAACAGATATCAACATGAAACTTTATTGGAAGATAGATCTCATTATATAGAAGTGCAATGCAAAAAAAGCATAACTCCGCCTAGCCTAATTTTGGAGTTATTGCCCTTTGTTCATTTTTATACTCTGAACTTTGTCCGGGACTTAACTCTGAAACTATCAAAGATATCAACATGAAACTTTGAAGGTAGATAGATCTCATTGGGTAGAAGTGCAGTGCAAAAGAACCATAACTATATAGAAGTGCAATGTCAAAGAACCTTGCCTATTTTTAGCTCACCTTGCACAAAGTGCAGGTGAGCTTTTAGGATGGCCAACCAAATGCGTCCGGCGTACGTCCACATTTTATTCAAACGACATCTTCTACAATACCACTTGGCCAATATTAATGAAACTTGGCAGGAATACTTTTTGTATGAAGCTCTATCAAGATTGTTCAAAGAATGCCATTCCATGCTAAACTCTGGTTGCTATGGCAACTAAAATAAAAAACTTAAAAGTTCTTAAACTTCAAAATGGAAAGGGCTAGAGCTTAGATTTATCTCACAAGGCATTAGCTTGTTAGTTCCTACAAAGTATATTCAAACTATGGTTTAAAGTTGAAAATTGGTCTCTGTTTTGGGAGTTAAAGGGTTTTTTTATGGCAAGGTAATATAGACTTTCTTTGTAGATTTAAATTGAGATAGTGTATCTTGTATTTTTCGTCTCAACAGACATTGTTATGAAGATTTTTCTGTTAAAGCATAGGAAGGATGAAAAGTTGGTTGAATGTGAATGTTGATTCAAATCAGAGTCAATCAGAATAGCGCAAATTTGAGAGCTACAGTGAAGTTGATTTCCCCATTCAATAATGGATTCTTCCATTAATTTCGTTACACCATCAGAAAGTAAGACTGTGTCATTTCTGAAATACAATGTAAAATATTTAGGTTCTTGACAATGACTTGCACATTTTATTGTGTAAGATATTGCACAAAGAAACGAAAGTGAACAAAAAATGTTGTTTTTTTTCCACAAAAATTAGTTGATTAAGATAAAAGTTTAATTTACAGTACGGATATTACTTTTTGTATCCTTCTGGTTTGCGGGAAAGATCATATACTACACCGCTCCTACTGATGAACGAATTATGTCAAAATATTTAATTCTGAGAATAAACATACGATTCAAATCATTAAATAATGCATACCAATCAGTCAATATAAAAACTTTGCCTCAGAAAACATCTGTTTCAATCTGACCTTGAGTTGAGATTATAAATTATACTAAACCGGAAGTGCATGACGAAACGTCCGCCAATCAAGTAAATTGAGAAATTTTTTAACATAAACTCGTATTTCATAACAAAGAAGTGAAGATGAATACAATTATCGGTGTGCTTCGTTGAAACAGGTATTTTGTTAACTATTTGTGAAGTATTAAGGCATGACATTCAGTATTTATGTAAATATCACCTCCCGACGTCCCGTGTTATGATTTATAAAATTATACATGTACACATGTGTTATTGACCTCAATAAATGTAAGTGAAAATGGAACAATAATTATGGTAATTATCCATGGTGCTAGCAATACTTAATTATCTTTATCATATTGTTAACTAAGCTAGAAAAATACGTAATTTTAAAATAACTTAACCTCATAATATAATCAATTTAAACTTGAAAATCTTCTCAAAATTACTTTGCAAACAGTAATTTTTGAATTCATTTTTGAAACATGGTTCATGTAGAGAAATAAGAGAAGAAAAAACTGAATTGACTCATGAAAATTTTGGTCAAACAGTCTGCCACGTGAAATTCTGACCTTCCTGAGATCCCTGCTGTTTGTTGTTGTTTTTGTTTTTTTAGAAAGGGTGTTCTAATATGATAAACCACAGATGCTTGGGTCAACATGATACCCCTGAGTAAACACTATCAAAAAATATTTTAATATTTAAACACTAATGGGATATCTGTTACAACTATAATACTGGTTTTCTAAAAAAAAATACATATATGAAAAAAAAAATACTGTTTACCATCATGTATTGAGACTTGATTCATTTTTCGTAACAGTTTTCTCAGCAACTACTTATCAGAGCCTCATGATATTTAGTATGCAGCATTAACACATTGTCCCATACCATGGGATTCGATTTTAGGTCTGTCGCTCATCCACTTCATGTTTACTGACTTAGTTAAATTCATAATAATGGTCAATGGTACGAATTTTTCGTAACAATTTTCTCATTAGTTAAATTCAAAATAATGGTCAATGGTACAAATTTTTCGTAACAATTTTCTCAGCAACTACTTATTACAGCCTCTTGATGTTTGGTATACAGCATTGATATGATTTCAGGTATGTGGCTCATCCACTTTCAGTTTTCTGACCTAGTGAAATTTTCGGCATTAATTGTAAATGGAAGGAAATTTCCGTAACAGTTTTCTTAGCAACTATATACATATCACAGCCTCTTGATATTTGGTATTGTGACTGCAAAGTTCAGGTCTATCCTTATCCACTTCCTGTTTACCGACTTAGTTAAATGATCAATATTAATGGTCAATGGTAGGAAATTTTTGTAACATCACAGCCTCATGAGTCATGTTATTTGGTATACAAATGCAACCCGGCCATTTTTGTCTTTGACCCATTTATCCAAATTTGTACTTTGTCTTGTTAATTATGATGTCATTGTTAAAATTTTCATGATGTAAACACGCTACAGGGAGTGTATTTTTTAGCAACCTGTACTTTAAAGAAAAGAAAAAAAGAGGTATTTCTATACACTTGTTAGCATTCCTGTTGCTGTTGTCCAAAAAAACATTACATTTGACACTAACCTTTAAATGACATTAAAGAATTTTATAAACCTCTTGCTTGTTTTTAAAAAGAAAAATACTTTATAAGATCTATTCCTTAAGGTGAGCGATATAGGGCCATCATGGCCCTCTTGTTTGAGTTATTGCCATTTTTAGCTCAGCTGAGCTAGCTCAGGGTGAGCTTTTTGGATTGTTGAATGTCTGTCATCTGTCCACATTTGTTTCTTTCCACTCTATCATCATCAAACTTTGTCAGGATGCTTGTCTTAATAAGGTAATTGCTCGGATGAGATCTAACATTGGTCATCTCGGATGAAAAACTAGGTTACAGGAGCTTATAAAAATATTGTTAACTCTCAACTGGTTTGGCAATTGGCGTGAAAGTTTGTTTCGGTGATTACTAGGTCAAGTTCAAATATGGGTCACCTGGGGTCAAAAACTAGGTCACACCACCCAAATATGGAAATAAAACTTGTAAATGCTCGATTGTTATCAAACTTTTTCAGGATGCTTGTCTTAGTAATTGCTGGGATGAGTTCGATACTCAGGTGAGAGTTCTAGGGCCATCTTGGCCCTCTTGTTCAATTTTACACTGAAATTTGTCTGGGACATTACTGTGAACCTACAAGAGGTATCAACAAGAAACTTGTAGATAGATCTCATTGAGTAGAAGTGCAGTGCAAAGAACAGTCACTCTGCCTTGCCTAAGTTTGGAATAATTGAACTTTTTCCAGCAGATAACTCTGAAAATACAAGAGGTATTTTCTGTGTCCAAAACCCATTTGGAGAGCATCACCTGGTTCAACTAGCTCTTTTGTTAAATTGGCGATTAATTGTAGCGTATTTGTTGAAATTCTGGAATGATCTGGATATTTTTTCACTAAAACAGATCCCAAATGCATTTGTTGTATCAATATCCGTATTTAATATAATAAATATAGACTTCTTTCTTCTTGTATTTGAGTGGCCATCCATCAACTCAAGCTGCTTTTAGCAAAATTTGCGAAAAATGGCCTTCCCTTGTGTACAGAGTCTAGCAAAGTTGTGTTCGGAGTGTAGATGGAAAACCTTTAGCGAGTGTATGGGATGTAGTACAGTACAGCTCACACGGAATGTTCAATTTTTGTGCTTCCTTCGCAATTGACGTTTAAGCGAACACCTTAATCCACCGCGTTTTTCTGAGCGTAATCGCAGAGAAACACCGTGACCACAATCGCTGAGTTTTAGAGAGTGTAAAGGTATTATCGCAGAGATTCTCCAAGAAAATCACTATTTATAAGTTATCATTATATTTTAAAATTTTCCTTTTTGTGTCGCCTTGAAAAGGTGACATATAGGGGTTACTTTTGTCGGCGGCGGCGGCGTCTGTGTCGGCGTCGTTGTCGGCGTCGGCGTCCCCTAAAGCTTGTCCGGAGCATAACTCAGTCACTATAAGTCTGATTGACTTCAAACTTAGTATGCATGCTTCTTTCAATAACCCGAAGTGCAGTGCACAAGGACCGGTACTCTGCAGTTCTTATTTTTTTGAGTTATTGCCCTTTGTTAATTTTCATACTTTAATTTTGTCCGGGCCATTTCTCTTCAACTAAAAAAGCTATGGACTTGAAACTTCATAGGATGATAGATCTCATTATTAAGAAGTGCAGTGCACAAAGAACCAATACTCTGCACTTCCTAATTTTTGAGTTATTGCCCTTTGTTAATTTTCATACTTTATTTTTGTCCGGGCCATTTCTCCTAATGTATAAAAGCCATGGACTTGAAACTTCATAGGATGATAGGTCTCATTAAGAAGAAGTGCAGTGCACAAGAACTGGTACTCTGCATTTCTTAAATTTTGAGTTATTGCCCTTTGTTAATTTTCATACTTTAATTTTGTCCGGGCCATTTCTCCTTAAGTATAAAAGCTATGGACTTGAAACTTCATAGGATGATAGATCTCATTATTAAGAAGTGCAGTGCACAAGAATCGGTACTCTGCATTTCTTAATTTTTGAGTTATGGCCCTTTGTTAATTTTCATACTTAATTTTTGTCCAGGCCATTTCTCCGAAAGTATATAAGTTATGGACTTGAAACTTCATAGGATGATAGATCTCATTAAAAAGAAGTGCAGTGCATAAGAACTGATACTCTGCATTTCTTATTTTTGAGTTATTGCCCTTTGTTAATTTTCTTACTTTATTTTTGTCCTGGTCATTTCTCCTCAAGTATGAAAGCTATGGACTTGAAACATCATAGAATGATAGATCTTATTGATAAGAAGTGCAGTGTACAGAAACTGCTGCTCTGCACTTATTATTTTTTTAGTTATTGCCCTTTGTTATTTTTCATATTTCATTTTTGTCCTGGCCATTTCCCCTAAACTACTTTGTTCACAAGGGGACACATCCGACTCGCGGAGTTCTAGTTCATTAAAGTTCTACATTTGTAATTGTCTTGTTATTTATTTTTGTTTTGAAATTTGTAGGTCCACTTGATTATTCGTAGTGTTTCTCTTGAACAATCTTCTTGAACACCATACCGCTGAATCATGTCTGCATCGTATTTTGTTTTTATACTTAATTTGGCATTTTTTATGCCACCGCATATAGCGATTCACCTGTGTGTATGAGTGTTCTATAGATTATATAGTGAACTTAAGAAATCTTCTTGTGAAAAACCACTAGTCCAATTTCAACCAAACTTGGCAGGATTGATCCTTGCAGGAAGGGCTTCCAAAGTTGATCAAAGAATTTCATTCCATGCAGAAATCTGGTTGCCATGGCAACCAAAAGGAATTATAAGAATAAATTTAAAAAATCTTCTTGTAAACACCCACAAGGCCTAGAGCATAGATATTTTGCATAAGGCATTGTCTGGTAGACCTCTACCAAGATTGTTCATTTTATAGCCCTGGGGTCAAAATTGGCCCCTCCCCAGGGGTCATTGATTTTCACTACTATATGTACATATAGTAAAAACTTAAAATACCTGCTTGTCTGAAGGTACAAGGCTTAGAGCTTTGGTATATGATATGATCTATAGGTCCTACCAAAGTTGTTTAAATTTTGCCTCTAGTGTCAAAATTAGCCCCGCCCTGGGGGTCATAGGTTTTCCTTTAATGTATATAGTTAAAAATTTTAAAAAATCATCTTCTCTAAATGGACAAAGGCTAGAGGTTAGATATTTTGTAGTGAACCTCTAGCAGGATTGTTCAAATTATAGCCCTGGGGTCAAAATTTGGCCCTGTCCCGGGGGTCATTGATTTTAAGTCACTTTGTACATATAGTAAAAAATTAAAAATCTTCTTGTCTGAAGGTACAAGGTTTAGAGCTGTGATATTTTGTATATAATATCATCTATAGGTCCTCTACCAAAGTTTTTAAATTATGCCCCAAGTGTTAAAATTGCCCTGCCCAAGAGGCGATAGCTTATAGTAAAAACTAGAAAAATCTTTTTCTCTGAATTGACAAAGGCTAGAGGTTAGATATTTGGCATGAGACTTTGTGTAGTGAACCTCTACCAAGATTGTTCAATAACATACATAAAATACAAGAACCATAACTCTATTTGGACAAATTACAGATATTGCCCTTTGTTACTTTTTTTGTCCAGTGCATAACTTGAAAACTAGTAGTTGGAATTCAGTACAACTTCATACAATGGTAAAGGGCAATGAGAGGAAGTGCAGTGTACAATAACCATAATCCATCTTCAGTATTTGTAGAGTTATTGTCCTTTGTTCTTTTTCCTTGTCCGGTGCACAACTTAAAAACTAATGTTTAATGCAACTTCATACAATGGTCAAGTGCAATGATGGGAAGTGCAGTGCTCAAGAAGTTTAACTCTTTCTTGACTTATTAAACAGAGTAATTCAATAAAACATCATCAATAGTCAACCACATTAAAAGGAAATGCAACATACAAGAACCACAACTATCTTTAATTGCCCACAACCATAACCCTATTTCAATTCTTTTGCAAGGTATTCTGTTACTAGTAACTAGTGACTAGTAACTTCCTCATTTCCAAAGCAGTCTTGCGGGGGTATTAATCACATTTAGTGATAGTTCTAGTTATGATTTGCACTTGGTTGTTCCTTTTGTAAAGTTGAGTGTAAATCTCTGTGACATTTAATTGACAAATTTATAATACCAATCTGATCCGTCTTAATAGATAAGTATAGAGATTATATATCCGATGACCCAGATTTACAATTTAGTCATATGTAAAGCACATGTTTTTCTCAAAATTGTAAAAAATTACCTTCTCAGTTTTGGTTTTTTTATACCCCCTCGCAATGAAGTTGTAAGGGGGGTATGCTGGAATCAGCTTGTCCATCCAGCCAGTCCAGACGCTCTACCGAATAGGGATAGGGGGCCATCTAACTGTAAACAGGACAAAAGAGAACAATAGAGTTCATTTCATAACAATAGAGTAAGGGGCCCTCTATTAAACAATAGAAAATAACAAAAAAATGGCCCCTTATTCCATTTTCAGCCATATGTCCGTCCATCGGATTTTCTAGTCCGCCCAATAGATTCCTTTGACCCACAGTCTTCATATTTGGTATTTAGATTTGTCATGATTAGTAGATGATCTGTATTGATTTTGAGGTCAAAGGTCAAGGTCACAGGGACCTTGACTAAAAAAAGCTTGTCCCCCAATAACTTAAGATTCCTTTGACCCACAATTTTCATATTTGGCATGGAGGGTGGCCATGACCATAAGATGACCTCTATTGATTTTGAGGTCACCAGGTCAAGGTCACAGGGGCTTTGACTACAAAATGCTTGTCCGCCCAATAAATTAAGATTCCTTTGACCCACAGTCTTCATATTAGGCATGGAGGTAAGGCATGATTAGTAGTTGACCCCTATTGATTTTAAGGTCACTAGGTCAAAGGTCAAGGTCACAGGGCCCTTGACAAGAAAAAAAAATAGTTTGCCCAATAACTTATAATTAGCTCGACTTTTTTTTTTTTTTTTTTAAAAACAAGTAGAGGTATTGTTATAGTCGCGGCGGTGTTGCCGTCCGCAAACTTGTACCTGGATCATAACTTTTTTATTTCTTTGTGTATTGTCTTCATACTTGGCCACAACAACCCTTGGGACAAGACATTTCAGTAGACCACACTAACCTTGACATTCATCCATAAATGACCTTGACCTTCAAGGTTAAAAGTCCAAATTTTGCTTGTTCATGCTGTTATTGGCTGTAACTTTGTTATTTTTGAATGGATTGTCTTCAAACTTGAACATAATAATCTTCAAGGATATCCCTTAAAAATAACCCGACAGACCTTGACCTTCACTAATAAATGACCTTGACTTTGAAGGTCAAATTATTGAAATATTCATTTTTTTGGCTATTATTGGCTGTAACTATGTTATTTTTGAATGGATTGTCTTGAAACTTAAACATAATAATCTTCAAGGATAACTCTTAAAAATAACCCGACAGACCTTGACCTTCACTCATTAATGACATTGTCTTTGAAGGTCAATTTATTGAAATTTTCATTGTTTTAGCTGTAACTGACTGTAACTTTGCTATTATTGAAGGGATCAACTTCATATTATAACTGAACATTCTTAAGGACCAGACCTTGTTGTTTATCAAACCCAAATTTGCTTGGCCTCTTTAATGACCTTGACCTTGAAGGTTAAATTACTGAATTTTCTCAGATTTGTGCATTAAATGACCAGAATTATATATTTATTGGTGTGTGTGTGTGTATATATATATATATATATATATATATATATATATATATATATATATATATATATATATATATATATATATATACATATTTATCATCATCATCATCAACAACAACTTTTTAGAATTGCTTGTTGCTATTTATAGAAATCGCGTGTTGCTATTTATAGAAATTGCGTGTTGCTATTTATAGAAATTGCGTGTTGCTATTTATAGAATTGTGCTATTTATAGAACTGTGCTATTTATAGAATTGCGTGTTTCTATTTTTATATATGTTCAAACCTTTCTATGTTTGCTTTTAGAAAAAGTAAAAAGTCGAGCGTTGCCCCCGCCCGGCGGTGGCTCTTGTTCCTTTGACCCACAGTCTTCATATTTGGCATTGAGGCTAGACATGATTACCAGATGACCCCTATTGATTTTGAGGTCACTGGGTCAAGCTCAAGGTCACAGGGACCTTGACTTGAAAAAGCCTTTCCACTCAATTGCTTAAGAATGTTTGGTCAATAGTCTTCATTTTTTGGTATTGAGGTTGTTTATGACTAGTAGTTGACCACTATTGATTTTTAGATGACTGTGTCAAGGTGATAGGTTTTTTTTATTATAATAAACTTGTCTGCTCAAATGCTTAAGAATGCCTGTCAGCATTGTATTGATTTTGACATTTGAAGCATGTAGAATACATACATAACTTAGCAATGCTCTGGCTTAGTAACCTCAGATTTGGCAGGGATGTTGTCCCTGAGCTCTAAATGGCCACTGTTGATTCTGACAAAGTGGTATGCGGGGGTTTTCACGCCATGACATTGGCAGTTCTAGTTAAGGGTTAAAAGTAGAAACCACGTTGCTTTCAAAATTATGAAAGCTCGCCAGGTGTCCAGAAATGACTTTGTATTTGGTCATGGTCAGATCTAAAAGAAAAGCTTTATTTAGAGCTGATTTTAATCAGATTGTATTTGGTGCTACATGTATTTGTTTTACACACAATATGTTTTTCTATTGCCTTTAATTTACATGATTTATATAGAAATATTGGTAGTGATAAGTAGAGAAAAAGGTCTGCTATGGTGCATATATATATATATATATATGATCCTTGACGTTCACAAGACATTACACAGGGAGTACCGAGGATTAAGGAGATAATGAATGCCTCTAAGAACATCAGTACACCTATAATCACAGCCCAATTAGAGGTTGATAATGATGCAGAGTTTGCTAGAATTGCTAAAGGCAGGATAGAGAAAACAGAACTTGGAGAGGTCATTATATACAATTATTTGCCTAGCGGAAAGGAATTAGGAATGGCCTCCGTCTGTTAGTCAGCGTGACAGACCGTCCGTAACACTTATGTGTCCACTCCATAACTTTTAAACCACTGAATTTTTTTTAAAGACTTTCGAACAAGTGATCACCATTATGGGACTATGTGCATAGCACAATAAATAGGTTGCTACACCCAAAGTCAAGGTCACACTTCAAGGTCAAGTGTTAAAAAGTCTAGATTTTGTGTCCGCGTCATATTTTTTAAACCGCTTAAAAAAATTTAAAATAACTTGGCACAAGTAATCACTATTATGAGACGATGTGCAGAGCATAATAATTGGGTTTCTACCCCCAAGATCAAGGTCACACTAAAAGGTCAAGTGTTAAGAGTCAACATTTTGTGTCCGCTCAATAACTTTTAAACTGCTGAAAAAAAATTAAATAACTTGGCAGAAGTGATAACCATTATGACACGATGTGCAGAGTGCAATAATTGGGTTGCTTACCCCAAGGTCAAGGTCATACTTAAAGGTCAAGTATTAAGTATTACATTTTTGTCCGCTTCATAAATTTTAAAACGCTGAAATTTTTAGCTCACCTGGCCACGAAGTGGTCAAGGTGAGGTATAGTGATGGGGCTATGTCCGGCGTCCATCGTCGTGCGTCGTCAACAATTGGGTTGTTAACAGTCTAGCAGTCACAGTTTTGATTGGATCATCATCAAACTTTGTCAGAATGTTTGTCTCAATGAAATACAGATCGAGTTCGAAGATGGGTTATCTCGGCGAAAAAACTAGGTCGCAGGAGCTAAAAATAGAAATAATAATAATAATAATAAAGACTTTATTTAAAGAGGCAACATAGTTAGGCAAGCCCAGTCTTCCCTATGAGCCTCTATCAAAAATGTACATATATACAGTTACAAACAAAGACTTATATAAACAAAGAAAGAAAACTAAATGTATACAAGTTATACAACAAAGAAACGTTGAGTAATTGAAAAATGCAATAAGAAAATGAATACAAACATTTGAAAGTATGAAATTGTACATTTTATGAGACATACATGTATATATGTGATATTAAAACATAGCTAGATTATTTGGTGCCCACCAGAGAACCACCATTTAAGATAATTTGTTTTGAATGTTTGTAAGTTGGAAGAATTTCTTATGTTTAAAGGGAGGGAGTTCCAAAATTTTGAGCCTGAATATGATAGGGATTTTCTGCAGAATTCAATTCTTGGTTTGGGGACTAAAAGAAGTTTTTGTTCATATGATCTTAATGATTTATTTTCTGTATTTGTAAAAAGATTTTGCATATAATCAGGGAGAAGATTGTTTAGGGACTTGTATACTAAAATGGCCTTTTTATAATTCACTCTATCAGAGAATTTCATCCAGTTCAATTCAGAAAATAACTCATCAGTAGGCGCATCAAAATCTTTATCAAGTATTATTCTTGCTGCACGTTTTTGAAATTTATACATGTCGTTTAAGAGTTCCTTACTGCAATTACCCCAAATAGTGCAACAATAGTCTAAATGAGGAAGAATGTATGCATTAAAGAACATTTTCCTAACTTGAAGATTTAGAAATGGTTTAATTCTCAGAAGTAGATATAGTAAGGAATTGCATTTATTCAGCGTCATCTTGACATGTGTTTTCCAATTAAGTGTATGATCAACATGGACTCCTAAAAGTTTTTCTGTTTCTGAGAATTGAATGCTTTCATCTTGCAGAGTGATGTTGAAATCACTAGAATTATTGATGATAGCTTGTTAACACTCTAGAGGCTGCAGTTTTCATCCAAATATTCTGGAAATTTGTCAGGAAAGTTGTTTCGATGATTTCTAGGTCAAGTTCGAAGATGGGTCAACTCCGGTCAAAAACTAGGTCACAGGAGCTAAAAAAAGAACAAGCTTGTTAACACTCTAGTGGCTGCAGTTTCCATCCAAATATTCTGGAAATTTGTCTGGAAAGTTGTTTTGATGATTTCTAGGTCAAGTTCGAAGATGGGTCATCTCTGGTCAAAAACTAGGTCACAGGAGCTAAAAATAGAAAAAGCTTGTTAACACTCTAGAGGTTGCAGTTTTCATCCAAATATTCTGGAAATTTGTCAGGAAATTTCTTTTGATGATATCTAGGTCAAGTTTGAAGATTGGTCATGTCCGGTCAAAAACTAGGTCACAGGAGCTTAAAATAGAAAAAGCTTGTTAACACTCTTGTGGCTGCAGTTTTCATGGAAATATTCTGGAAATTTGTCAGGAAGGTTGTTTTGATGATATCTAGGTCAAGTTTGAAGATGGGTCATCTCCGGTCAAAAACTAGGTCACAGGAGCTAAAAATTGAAAAAGCTTGTTAACACTCTAGTGGCTGCAGTTTTCATCTAAATATTCTGGAAATTTGTCAAGAAGGTTGTTTTGATGATATCTAAATCAAGATTGAAGATGGGTTATCTCCGGTCAAAAACTAGGTCACAGGAGCTAAAAATAGAAAAGCTTGTTAACACATTAGGGGCTGCAGTTTTCATCCAAATATTCTGGAAATTTGTCAGGAAGGTTGTTTTGATGATTTCTAGGTCAAGTTCGAAGATGGGTTATCTCTGGTCAAAAACTAGGTCACAGGAGCTAAAAATAGAAAAAGCTTGTAAACACTCTAGTGGCTGCAGTATTGATTCAAATATTCTGGAAATTTGCCAGGAAGGTTGTTTTGATGATTTCTGGGTCAAGTTCGAAGATGGGTCATCTCAGGTCAAAAACTAGGTTACAAGAGCTAAAAAAAGAAAAAGCTGGTTTACACTCTAGTGGCTGCAGTTTTGATTCAAATATACTGGAAATTTGTCAGGAATGTTGTTTTGATGATTTCTGGATCAAGTGCTAAGATTGGTCATGTCAGGTCAAAATCTAGGTCACAGGAGCTAAAAATAGAAAAATCTTTTTAACACTCTAGTGGCTGCAGTTTTGATCCAAATTTCCTGGAAATAGGTCAGGAAGGTTGTTTTGATGATTTCTAGGTCAAGTTTGAATATGGGTCGTGTCCGGTCAAAAATTAGGTCACATTGCCCAAATATGTAAAAATCTTTATAACACACTAGAGGTCACATTTTTGACTCAGTTGTCATCAAACTTGGCCATGATGCTTGTTTAAGACATTGCTTGGATGCGGTTGTGTCAGGTGAGCGATCCAGGGCCATCATGGCCCTCTTGTTTAGTTCTTGGTGTATTGTCTTCATACTTGGCCACAACAACCTTTGGGACAAGACCTTTCAGTAGACCACACTAACCTTGACCTTTATCCATAAATGAACTTGACCTTCAAGGTCAAATGTCCAAATTTTGCTTGTTCTTGCTATTATTGGCTGTAACTTTGTTATTTTTGAATGGATTGTCTTCAAACTTGAACTTAATAATCTTCAAGGATATCCCTTAAAAATAACCAGACAGACCTTGACCTTCACTATTAAATGACCTTGACTTTGAAGGTCAAATTATTGAAATTTTCAAATTTTTTTTGCTATTATTGGCTGTAACTTTGTTCTTTTTGAATGGATTGTCTTCAAACTTTAACATAACAATTTTCAAGTATAACCCTTTAAGATACTAGACAGACCTTGACCTTCACTCATTAATGACCTTGACTTTGGAGGTCAATTTATTGAAATTTTCCTTTTTCTGGCTGTAACTGGCTGTGACTTTGCTATTATTGAAATGCATTGACTTCATATTATAACAGAACATTCTTAAGGACAAGACCTTTATGTTTATCAAATTCATATTGACATGGGCTCTTTAATGACCTTGACATTGAAGGTTAAATTTTTGAATTTTCACTGATTTGTGCATTAAATGACCATATATATTTATTGGTGTATATATATATATATATATATATATATATATATATATATATATATATATATATAACTTAAGATTCCTTTGACCCACAGTCTTCATATTTGGCATGGAGGTTAGTCATGACAAGTAGATGACCCTTATTGATTTTGAGGTCACTGGGTCAAAGGTCAAGGTCACAGGGGCCTTGACTATAAAAAGCTTGTCCGCCCAATAACTTAAGATTCCTTTGACCCACAGTCTTCATATTTGGCATAGAGGTTAGTCATGACAAGTAGATGACCCCAATTGATTTTGTGGTCACTGGGTCAAAGGTCAAGGTCACAGTGACCTTGACTTAAAAAAAGTTTTTTCCCCTCAATTGCTTAAGAATGCCTGTCAGCAGTGTATTGATTTTGACATTTTCACATTTGAAGCATGTTCAATACATAACTTAGCAATGCAATGGCTTAGTAACCTCAAATTTGGCAGGGAGGTTGTCCTTGAGCTCTAAATGGCCACTGTTGATTCTTACAAAGTGGTATGGGGGGTATTCACGCCATGACAGTGGCAGTTCTAGTTTATGAAAGGATTCATACTGTGACAAAACTAGTGTGACAACACAGACCTATTAAGATTATAAAAAGGAACCGTTAAGATTTGTTCAAACGTTTCTTTGTTTGCTTTTAGAAAAAGTAAAAAGTTGAGCGTTGCCCCTGCCCGGCGTTGGCTCTTGTCATATTTTTTTTTTTCACGGCCATTTCTTCTTAACTATAAAAGCTCAAAACTTGAAACTTCATGGAATGATAGATCTCAATGAGATAAAGTGCAATGTTCAAAAACCGGAACTCTGTACTTTGTGATTTTTGGGTTATTGTCCTTTGTTAATTTTCTTACTTTATTTTTGTCTGGGCCATTTCTCCTTAACTGTAAAAGCTATGGACTTGAAACTTCATAGCATGATAGATCTTATTGTAAAGAGGTGCAGTCCAAAAAAAAAGACTCCTCTTATTTTTTGAGTTATTGCTCTTTGTTGTGCCCCCACTTTAGTGGCGGGCATTTAGATTTACCCTTGTCCGTCCCTCCGTTCTCTTTTGTGTCGCACATAACTCAAAAAGTATTTGACCTAGAGTCATGAAACTTTACAGGAATGTTAATCAGCATGTGCAGTTGTGCACCTGGGTATTTTCTTGTGGATTTATTCAGTATTTTTAGAGTTATTTCCCTTGACTTAGTAAAAATTTGCAATTTTCAACTTGTGTCACATATAACTCAAAAAGGATTTGAATTAAGAGTCATGAAACTTTACAGGAATGTTAATCAGCTTGTTGAGTTGTGCACCTGGGTATTTTCGTGTGGATTTATGTACTATTTTTAGAGTTATTGCCCTTGACTTAGTAAAATTTTTGCAATTTTCAACTTATGTCGCATGTAACTCAAAAAGTAATTGACCTAGAGTCATGAAATCTTACAGGAATGTTGATCAGCATGTGAAGTTGTGCACCTGGGTATTTTCATGTCAATATATTTAGTATTTTTAGAGTTTTGCCCTTGAATTTTGTAAAAATTTGCAATTTTCAACTTGTGTCGCATGTAACTCAAAAAGTAATTGACCTAGAGTCATAAAACTTTACAGGAATGTTGATCAGCATGTGTAGTTGTGCACCTGGGTATTTTCGACTGGATATTTTAAGTATTTTCAGAGTTATTGCCCTTGACTTAGTAAAATTTTGCAATTTTCAACTTGTGTCGCATGTAACTCAAAAAGTATTTGACCTAGAGTCATGAAACTTTACAGGAATGTTGATCAGCATGTGTAGTTGTGCACCTGGGTATTTTTGTCTGGATATGTTTAGTATTTTTAGAGTTATTGCCCTTGAGTTAGTAAAATTTTGCAATTTTCAACTTATGTCGCATGTAACTCAAAAGTTTTGAACTAGAGTCATGAAACTTTACAGGAATGTTGATCAGCATGTGTAGTTGTGCACCTGGGTATTTTCATCTGGATATTTTTAGTATTTTTAGAGTTATTGCCCTTTACTTAGTAAAATTTTGCAATTTTCAACTTGTGTCACATGTAACTCAAAAATGATTTGACCTAGAGTCATGAAACTTTACAGGAATGTTGATCAGCATGTGTAGTTGTGCCCCTGGGTATTTTCGTGTGACTTTATGTAGTATTTTTAGAGTTACTGCCCTTGACTTTGTTAAAATTTTGCAATTTTCAACTTCTGTCGCATGGAACTCAAAAAGTAATTGACCTAGAGTCATGAAACCTTACAGGAATCAGCATGTGAAGTTGTGCACCTGGGTATTTTCATGTCAATATATTTAGTATTTAAGAGTTATTGCCCCTTGACTTAGTAAAAATTTGCAATTTTCAACATGTGTCGCATGTAGCTCAAAAAGTAGTTGACCTAGAGTCATGAAACTTTACAGGAATGTTGATCAGCATGCCTTGGTATTTATATGGATATATATAGTTTTTTTAGAGTTATTGCCATTGACTTAGTAAAAATTTTGCAATTTTCAACTTGTGTCGCACGTAACTTAAAAAGTATTTGACCTAGAGTCATTAAACCTTACAGGATTGTTGCTTAGCATGTGTAGTTGTGCACCTGGATATTTTCGAGTGGATATTTTTAGTAAATTTTAGAGTTATTGCCCTTGACTTAGTAAAAATTTGCAATATGCAACTTGTGTCTTGGGTTACTCAAAAAATATTTGACCTAGAGTCATGAAACCTTACAGGAATGTTGATCAGCATGTGTAAATGTGCATCTGGGCATTTTGTGTGGATATATTTAGTATTTGTAGAGTTATTGCCCTTGAATAAGTAAAATTTCAAATTTTCAACTTGTGTCGCACATAATTCAAAAAGTATTTGACCGAGAGTCATGAAACCTTACAGGAATGTTGTTCAGCATGTGTAGTTGTGCAATTGGGTATTTTCGTGTGGATATTTTTAGAGTTATTGCCCTTGACTTAGTAAAAATTTGCAATTTTAAACTTGTGTCGCATGTAGCTCAAAAAGTATTTGACCTGTAGGCCTGAAAGTTTACAAGAATGTTGGTGAGCATGTGTACTTATGCACCTTGGGGTTTTCTTGTAGATTTATTCAGTATTTGTAGTATTTGCCCTTTACTTAATGTTTTCAACTTGGGCACATGTAGCCAAAAAAAAAATTTGACCTTAAGAGACATAAGATTGACAAATTGGTAGAGTGTGGGGGCACCCATGTCCTATGGACACATTTCTAGTTCGCCTAGTTATGCCCCTTTCACTTTGAAGATAATATGAAATTTTCAGTTTCTATTCATTATCTCCCCAACGGTATTACACATTCAACCCAAATTTGACATATGGATACGTCAAAAGAATTTTGACGTAGAGACATAAGATTGACAAATTGGTAGAGTGTGGGGGCACCAGTGTCCTATGGACACATTTCTAGTTCGCCTAGTTATGCCCCCTTTCACTTTGAAAATAATATGAAATTTTCAGTTTCTATTAATTATCTCCCCAACGGTATTACACATCTGAAATTTTGGCTGCATGCGGGGGCATCCGTGGTGTGACGACACATTTCTAGTTAATCCTGATGTAACATTGTTACAATTAGCTCAAATGCCACTAAAATTCAAGGTACATGTACATTGTAAGAGGTTTCTTTTATAAATAATTTATATTTAAGAAGAAAATGCCTAAATGACAGCTATACTGTTCACAAGGCGACACATCCGACTCGCAGAGTTCTAGTTAACTGTTTAAATTGTCATCAATCTTTGTCAGGATGCTTGTCTAAGTATTTAGTGCTCTGATTTGTTCGAAAAGGGTGATCTCGAATGAAAAACTAGGTCACAGGAGCTAAAAAAAAAAAAGGTCATGTTCTAATATAGGTCACCTGGGGTCAAAAACTAGGTCACACAGCCAAAAAAATAGAAAATATCCTGGAAGTTGGTGAGAAAGTATGCTTTGTTGATTTCTAGGTCATGTTCATTGATGGAATCACCTGGAATCACACTGCCTAAGTACAGAAAAACCTTGTTAACACTCTAGAGGCCACTGTTTTGATCCAAATATCCTGGAATTTAGTCAGAAAGGTTATTTTCATGCTTTCTAGGTCAAGTTCAAGTATGATTCGCCTCGGGTTAAGAACTAGGTCACAAAGCCCAAATATAAAAAAATCTTGTTAATACTCTAGATGGTACTGTTTTGATCAAAATATCCCTGGATATTGGTGACAAAAATGGCGATTTCTAGGTCAAGTTTTAATTTGGTCACCTGGGGTCAAAATCTAGTTCACACAACCTAAATATTTGAAAACTTTGTTAACACTCTAGGGGCTACTGATCCTGTCCAAATAATCAGGAAATTTGTCAGAAAGTTTGTTATGATTATTTATAGGTTAAGTTCGAATTTGGATCACTTGTGTTTAGAAACTAGGTCACACAGCCCTCATATGGAATAGCCTTGTTTACATTCTAGAGGCTACTGTTTTGATCCAAATATCTTGGAAATTTGTCAGAGAGGTTGTTTTGATAATTTCTAGGTCAGTCTGGAATATGGGTCATTAGTGGTCAAAAACTAGGTCACACAGCCCAAATTAAATGGGAATTAAGCCTTCATAATCAGGTTAGGAATATAAGGGCCATCATGGCCCTCTTGTTCATGTTTTCAGAACACAATTTATTAAGTCCTTAAATAATATGTTACATATACAAAGTATAAAACAAAGTTGGTTAAATAACTTCTTTATGCTCTAATTCATTGCGCCAACACCTGTCAGCATACATTTCATTCAGTTTTCAGAGAAAACTTTGAAGTATAATGTTTAGTGTCAAAGAACTGTCAAAATTATGTATGCCAGAAACAGAATATTAAAGCCAAATATATAGATTAAAGGTACTGGTGCAATAATCTTGAGCAAAATGAAGTTGTTGGACACATTTTGTTAAGAATTTTACATTACAACATAATTTTTATGAACTTAAAATATTTCCTGAAAATTGGAAAAAGGGACCCAAACCTTTATGTTTTGAATCAAATATAATGCTTTACTAAACAAACAAGTTAAAAAGAAGCATTTTAATTATTTTTCTAGAAATATGATTTTTATGTGATAAGCAAGATTGGGCATTTTAACCAGCCTAATATAACACATGAAATTGGGCGTCCAACTGCAAAAAACACACATGTCAATCATGAACAGATAATGCAGACTTAATCCTATACATGGAATTATTTTATTATGTCTTTCAAAACTTTTGGGAGACATTGTGTTTTTGTCTTCGCCGTCTGTCCGGTTGTCCAGACGTTCGCATCAAGCTTGTCCATCCTTCACTGCTCAAAATGGCCACCAGAGCTAAACATAAAAAAATCTTGTCCGGTCTTCAAAAGTCAAACTACTGGTGGGATTTCAACCAAACTTTACAGGAGTGAACAGTACCATCCCTAGTTGTGCACATCACCAGCACGTTCCGCTTCACTGCACAAAATTGCCACCAGAGCTAAAAATAGAAAAATCTTGTCCGGCCTTCAAAGGTCAAACTACTGGTTGGATTTCAACCAAACTTTACAGGATTGATCAGTACCATCCCTAGTTGTGCTCATCACTGGCACGTTTTTCTTTGCTGTACAAAATGGCAGCCAGAGCTAAAAATAAAAAAATCTTGTCCGGCCTTCAAAAGTCAAACTACTGGTGGGATTTCAACCAAACTTTACAGGATTGATCAGTATCATCCCTAGTTGTGCACATCACCAGCACGTTCCGCTTCACTGCACAAAATGGCAGCCAGAGCTAAAAATAGAAAAAACTTTTCTGGCTTTCACAGGTCAAACAACTGGTGGGATTTCAACCAAACTTAACAGGAGTGATCAGTACCATCCCTAGTTGTGCAGGTTCTGCTTCACTGTACAAAATGGCCTTCAGAGCTATAAATAGAAAAATCTTGTCCAGCCTTCACAGGTCAAGCTACTGGTGGGATTTCAATGAAACTTCACATGAGTGACCATACATAGTTTTGGGAGACATGTTTTTGTGACAAAAACCTTCTAGTTTATATAGTTGAAATAGGATTGTAGCAATGTCAATGACAACTCTCATTTATGATAATTGTAATAGATATTCTATATATTACAGGTGTCCGAGTATCTGGAGGAAGTGTTTCTACCAGATGATTGTTTTATACTTATCAAACTAGACTTAGAGCGCATCAGGCTACTTAAGGTATAATTATGAAATAACATCTCATGAATTTAAAATAAAGACGATTTGTCTCTTTTGATTTAAGTTTTTAGTCCCCTACCGGTTTAACTGGAGGGGACTTTAGGTTTACCCTCCGTCCGTCTGTCTGTCAGTCCGTCCGTCCACAAAACTGGATCCCACGATAACGCAAAAGTACTGAAAATATTTTAATGAAACTTGATATATGCATAAGATGGCAGTATGGAGATTATGCACGTCTTTTTCTTTTCTTCCTATGTTGAAAATTCTGGTTGCTATGGCAACAAATAGTATGAAAATATGGCAAATTTAACACATAAACTGGATCCAGTGATAACTCAAAAAGTTCTGAAAATATTTTTATGAAAAATTGAGAAATTGGTATTTTTTACTCCAACTTCTTCATACCTTATAGGATTAACTTTTAAAATCCCACATCGTAATAATATGACAAGGTTTATAAATCTAGTATCAATATTTCCAGAATTATCTCCTCCTTAAACTTTGAATTTTTCTTATTCATTCTTTAACTTTCTAATTTTTTCTTCATGGATTTTCTTCAAATTCAAAATAAACATTCATTATCAACACCTACATGATATATATTTTTTTTTAATTTCATCTTTGTTACTTACTATACATTATAGTTAATGCTCATACTATTTGAAAATTGTTTAATTTTTTTTTACTTATCTTCTTTGTGACTATAACTGGTATCTTTAAACTTAAAGTAAAACTCACATCTTATATGACAATGTTCATAAATCTAGCATCTTTATTTCAAGAGTTATCTTCTCTTTAAGAATTTTGCATTAAAATATCTTATATTTTGGTAACAGGGATGTTTGAAAAAATAACTTTAGAGTTTCCGTCAGTCTTTCTGTATGTATTTCTGTCTGTCTGTTCATAAAAACTGTTTCCTGAGATCACTTTTAAAGATTTTTTCCAACAAAGGAAGGTTGTTTTGATGATTTCTAGGTCAAGTTCGAAGATGGGTCATCTCCGGTCAAAAACTATGTCACAGATTCTAAAAAAAGAGAAAAGTTGAAACATTATTCTTATTTATCCTGAGAAAATTAGACCTTTTGATTATCTGTTGTATAAACATAATTTCCTTACTAGGCAGGGAAGAATTTGATTGGCCCCTTTTAGGGGCCGCTTAAGCTAAAAATAGAAATACCTTTAAATGTCTATTTCTACAGAACTAATTGATGGATGATCACCAAACTTTGTCTGTAGCATTCTCAGGTAGTGTTTTATCAAGTTTACTCATGTTTATTTGATTGGCCCCTTTTAGGGGCCACAAAAGCTAAAAATAAAATACCTTTAAATGTCTTTTTCTACAGAACTAATTGATGGCTGATCACCAAACTTTGTCTGTAGCATTCTTGGGTAGTCTTTTATCAAGTTTGCTCATATGAATTTGATTGGCCCCTTTTAGGGGCCCCATAAGCTAAAAAAAGAAAAACTTTTAAATGTCTATTTCTAGAGAACTAATTGATGGATGATCACCAAACTTTGTCTGTAGCATTCTCAGGTAGTGTTTTATCAAGTTTGCTCATATTAATTTGAATTTGATTGGCCCCTTTTAGGGGCTGCAAAAGCTAAAAATAGAAATACCTTTAAATGTCTATTTCTACCGAACTAATTGATGGATGATTACCAAACTTTGTCTGTAGCATTGTTGGGTAGTCTTTTATCAAGTTTGCTCATATTAATTTGATTGGCCCCTTTTAGGGGCCTCTATAGCTAAAAATAGAAAAAACCTTTAGATATCTTCTTCTACAGAACTAACTGATGGATGATCACCAAACTTTGTCTGAAAGGGGCCACTAAAGCTAAAAATAGAAAAAATCTTCAAACATCATTTCCTACTGAAATAATTGATAGATGATCACCAAACTTTGTAGCATTCTTAGGTAGTTTTTTTATCAAGTTTGCTCATATTAATTTGATTAGCCCCATTTAAGCTAAAGCTTAAATGCCCCAGGTCATGGCATTTCTTCAAATTATTGTTTAAACATATTCTATGGTTAAATTTAATATTAGGAAATATTGACATTCCAACACTGAAGTTGTTTCTGGTGAGCGACTCAGGGCCATCATGGCCCTCTTGTTTAAAGAATTCCATTTGTGCTAAATTCTGGTTGCCATGGCAACAAAAAGATAAAACTTAAAAAAACTTCTTGTAAAAAACCGAAAGCTAGAGCTTAGATATTTGGCATGAAACATCTTCAAATGTGTGTTCAAATAAATGCCCTACGGTCGAAATTGGCACTGCTCTAAGGGGTCATTGATTTTCCTTATATGTATATAGTAAAAACTTAAAAAAGCACAATTTTTGCCTCAATTATCATCAAACTTGGTCAGGTTGCTTGTCTAGGTGAAAGCTCGGATGAGTTCGAACATGGGTCATCTCGGTTGAAAAAGTTGGTCACCGGAGCTAAAAAAAGAAAAACCTTGTTAACACTCTAGTGGTCACAATTTTGACTCAATTGTCATCAAACTTGGTCAGGAAACTTGTCTAGGTCATTGCTGGGATTAAATCGAACATGGGTCATCTCGGATGAAAAACTAGGTCACAGGAGCTAAAAAAAGAAAAATCTTGTTAACACTCTAGTGGCTACTGTTGTGATCCAAATATTCTGTAAATTGGTCTGAAAGTTTGTTTTGATGATTTCTAAGTGAAGTTCGAACATGGGTCATCTTGGATGAAAAACTAGGTCACACCGCCCAAATATGGAAAAGCCTTGTTTACATTCTAGTGGTCACATTTTCGACTCAATTATCATCAAACTTGGTCAGGATGCTTGTGTAGGTAATTGCTCGGATGAGTTTGAAATGGCATGTGAAACTAGGTCACCGGAGCTAAAAATAGAAAAATCTTGTTAACACTAGTTGCTACTGTTTTGATCCAAGTATCCTGAAAATTGGTCTGAAAGTTTGTTTTGATGATTTCTAGGTCAAGTTTGAATAATGATGTGTCACCTGGGTAAAAAACTAGGTCACACTGCTCAAATATGGATAATCCTTGTTAACACTGTAGTGGTCACATTTTTCACTCACCTGTCATGAGACTTGGTCAGAATGCTTGTCTAGGTAATTGTTGAGTTTGATGTGTCAGGTGAGCGATCTAGGGCCATCATGGCTCTCTTGTTTATTGCAAGGTTATATAGACTTTCTTTGTAGAGATAAATTGAGATAGTGTATCTTGTATTTTTTGTCTCAACAGACATTGTTGTGAAGATTTTTATACCCCCGCCATGTAATGGCCGGGGCATATAGTGTTACCCTGTTCCGTCCTTCCGTCATTCCGTCATTCTGTCATTCCGTCATCATCAGTTTCCGTTCATTATCTTAGTAACGGTTGCACACATTCAACTCAAATTTGACATATGGATATGTCATGAGAAAATACAGGTCAAGTTCGAATTTGGTCATGGTTCGATGATTTTTGGCAGAGTTATGCCCCTTTTACTTTAAAATAAAATGAAATTTTCAGTTTCTGTTCATTATCTCCCCAACGGTACAACACATTCAACTCAAACTTGACATATGGATATGTCATGAAAAAATACAGGTCAAGTTCGAATTTGGTCATGGTTCGATGATTTTTGGCAGAGTTATGCCCCTTTCACTTTGAAATAATATGAAATTTTCAGTTTCCGTTCATTATCTACCAACCAGTACAACACATTCAACTCAAATTTGACATATGGATATATCATGAGAAAATACAGGTCAAGTTTGAATTTGGTCATGGTTCGGTGATTTTTGGCAGAGTTATGCCCCTTTCACTTTGAAAATAATATGAAATTTTCAGTTTCTGTTTATTATCTCCCCATCGGTACAACACATTCAACTTAAATTTGACATATGGATATGTTTTTGGAATGCCCAGGCCAAATTTGAATTTGGTCATGGTTCAATGATTTTTGGCAGAGTAAAGCCCCTTTCACTTTGAAAATAATATGAAATTTACAGTTTCTGTTCATTATCTACCCAACAGTGTTACATATTAAACTCAAATTTGCCATATGAATATGTCAAAGGAAGGTGCAGGTCAAGTTTAAATTTGGTCATGGTTCGATGATTTTTGGCAGAGTTATGTCCCTTTCACTTTGAAAATAATATAGATACATCTTAGGAATAAGCAGTTTAAGTTTGAATTTGGTCATGGTTCAATGATATTGGACAAACTTATCTTTCTTGAATGTTGGAAAAACAGTCTGCCATGTGAAATTCTGATCTTACTGAGATCCCTGCTGTTTGTTTTTTTGTTTTTCTTTTTCAAAATTAAACCTGTGTTTAGAGCCACTCATGTGAACAGAAAGAAGTTTCTAATATGATAAACCACAGATGCTGGGGGTCAGATCCTGCCCCCAACATGATACCCCTGAGTAAACACTATCAAAAAATATTTTAATATTTAAACACTAATGGGATATCTGTTACGACTATAATACTGGTTTTGGAAAAAAAAAATACATATATGAAAAAAAAATACTGTTTACCATCATGTATTGAGACTTGATTCCGGGCAGGCAGGCAATGGTTGGGCCATTTTTCGTAACAGATTTCTCAGAGCCTCATGATATTTAGTATACAGCATTAACACGTTGTCCCATACCATGGGATTCGATTTCAGGTCTGTTGCTCATCCACTTCATGTTTACTGACTTAGTTAAATTCATAATAATGGTCAATGGTAGGAATTTTTCGTAACAATTTTCTCAGAGCCTCTTGATATTTGGTATACAGCATCAACATGTAGTCACATACCATGGTATATGATTTCAGGTATGTCGCTCATCCACTTCCCGTTTGCTGACTTAGTTAAATTTTCTGCATTAATTGTAAATGGAAGGAAATTTCCGTAACAGTTTTCTTAGCAACTACATATCACAGCCTCTTGATATTTGGTATTGTGACTGCATTAATACGTGGTCCCAAGTTCAGGTCTATCGCTTATCCATTTCCTGTTTACCGACTTAGTTAAAATGTTCAACATTAATGGTAAATGGTAGGAAATTTTTGTAACATCACAGCCTCATGTTATTTGGTATATAAATGCAACCCGGCCGGCCATTTTTGTCTTTCATCCATTTTTATTGAAGTATTATCCAAATTTGTACTTTGTCTTCATTGTTATAATTTTCATGACGTAAACACGCTACAGGGAGTGTATTTTTTAGCAACCTGTACTTTAAAGAAAAGAAAAAAGAGGTATTTCTATACACTTGTTTGCATTCCTGTTGCTGTTGGCCAAAAATACTTTACATTTGACACTAACCTTTAAATGACATTAAAGAATTTTATAACCCGGGTGCTTGTTTTTAAAAAGAAAAATACTTTTAAGATTTTTTCCTTAAGATGAGCGATATAGGGCCATCATGGCCCTCTTGTTCTTTTATGTATATAGTAAAAAGTAAAAAAAAATCTTCTTATGACAATCCGAAAGCACTATAGATTAGATATTTGGCATGAAACATCTTCTAATGGATGTCTACCACGTTTGTTCAAATAAATGCCCTAGGGTCAAAATTGGCCAGCCCCTGGGGTCATTGTGTTTCCTTTCATGTATAAAAGAAAAATTAATAAATCTTCTTGTGAAAATCCGAAAGCCCTAGTGCTTAAGTATTTGCCATGAAACATTTTCTAATGGATGTCTACCAAGTTTGTTCAAATAAATGCTCTAGGGTCAATATTAGTCCAGCCCCAGGAGGTCATTGATTGTCCTTATATTTATATAGTTAAAAGTCTTCTTTTGACAATCCGAAAGCACTAAAACATGAAACATCCTCTAGTGGATGTCTACCAAGTTTGTTCAAATAAATGCCCAAGGGTCAAAGATGGCCTCGCCCCCGAGGGTCATATTTATATATATATATATATAAATTTGGAGAAAATAAACGTTCATACAGTGCTAAAAAATAAATACCCAAGTACTTTCGGCGTATTATGCCTTCATCAGGGGTGTATTACATGTATAATGTGCACACAATAGAGCACAAAATCTCAATACGTGTGTACTGTATAGTATCAAAAATTGAACTGAAACACAGTTGCTAGAAAGGTGATATAGATTTTTTAAGCCTTTTAGCGAGCGACTGCGAGTCCATAATTGATACGATGATCTGAAATTAATTTCCTAATGAGCTAGAGGTTAGATGTTTAGCATGGAACATCTTCTTGTGGGTGTCTACCAAGTTTGTTCAAATATAGGCCCTTGGGTTAAAATTGGCCCTGCCGGGGGGTGGGGGAGCAGAGGTCATTGTTTTTCATTATATGTGTGTAGTAAAAACTTAACATCATGAAACATCTTCTAATGGGTGTCTTTCAAGTTTGTTCAAATAAATGCCTTGGGGTTTAAACTAGCCCCGCTCCGGGGGCCTATATACAGGTGAGCGACCTCAGGGCCATCATGGCCCTCTTGTTTCAGTTTTGTTAGAGTTATTGCCCTTGACTTAGTATAAAGTTGAAATCAACTTGTTCATGCATAACTCAAAAAAAATTTGACCTGTAGGTCTGAAAGTTTACAAGAATGTTGGTCAGCCATGTACTTATGCACCTTGGTGTTTGCTTGTGGATTTATTCAGTATTTGTAAAGTTCTTGCCCTTGACTTTTAGTTTTCAACTTGAGGCACATGTAGCCTTAAACATATTTGACCTTAAGTCATCAGATTGACAAAACAGTGGAGTGTGGGGGCACTCGTGTCCTATGGACACATTTCTAGTTTCATTTAATTCAATATCGGTTGTGGCCACCTCTGGCTCTAAGTAGTGCGTCAACACGTCGACGCATAGAATTGACGAAACGTTGAACAAGGTTATTTGGAAGATTGTTCCATTCCGCTATGAATGCATTTGTCAGTTGGAGGATATTCTGTGGGGCGTGATGTCGTCAGACATTTCTGCCAAGCACATCCCAGATATGCTCTATCTGATTAATATCTGGAGACATTGCTGGCCATTGTATGGTATTGACGTTGACTGCAGCTAAGCGAGCGCGAGTTATCCTCGCCGTGCGAGGACGGGCGTTGTCTTGTTGAAACTCAACTGGACTGTTTCTTGGCATAAACGGAATAGCCTTGGCATTCAAGACTTTGTTTATGTATCTCTGGGCGTTTAAGTTGCCGTGTATAACAATAAGCCGGGTTTTTTGCCACCCATTTACCCCGCCCCATACCAGAAGCTCACCACCTAAACGATATGCTGTCTAACACAGACAAGGAAAACCTTTGGCCCTTTTTCGATGTTAAATTCTTACAGGGCCCTTTTGGCGTGACTGAGTTTGTAACAGACTTTCCTGAAAAAGGACTATTCCTTTCCTCCCCCCCAGTGATGGGCGCAGTCCCACCAAATAGGCCTAGAGGGGCCTAAAGGAGAAAATATACATATGTAAGAAATGACAGAATAATACATCCCACCAAATGAATGCCAGTCCAAATTTTAAGGGCAAGCGCCTAGCAGATAAACTTTATTATAAAAATTGGGGGGGCGGCTGGTCCCTTTTAAGGGAATATATATTTGGGTGGATTTTTTATCCTTTTCATTTGATTTATTTCACTTTGGGGAACATCTTCTTCATGAAAATTGCAATTTCTGACATTATTCTTTTAGTATTTAAACACAAATGTAATAAGATACTGCTTTTATTTCTTTACAGCTAGAAGTCAATGCGTGTACAATCAGAGAATCCATCTGTGCTTCAAAATTAAAAATCAAATTTGGTGTAAGTTTTGTTGATATTGTTAGATATATACTTTTTGATGTTTTTTTGTTAATTAGGTTTTCAATGAAAACTGGTTATTGTAATGCTGAAGTCGGCTGGCGGGCAGGCGTCAACTTTTGGTTTCTGCTCAATTACTTGAGTTGCTTTGGCCTTTTGACACCAAACTTAGTGTGTAGGTAGCTTATACCAAGAGGCAGCTTGGGATTGCCACCTAGGTGTCTGATCAAGGTCAAGGGCACTGTTACTAAAAATGAAATTTAGTTTCCTCTTGATAGCTTGAGTTTGCTTTTGCCTATTGACACCAAACTTGGTGTATAGAAGGCTTTTATCAGAGGCAGCTTGGGATTGCTACCCAGGTGTCAGTGGTCAGTGCAAGGTCACTGTTACTAAAAATAGAAATTCAGTTATTGCTCAATAACTTTGGTTTGATTTGGCCTATTGACACCAAACTTAATCTGTAAGTAGCTTATATGAAGAGGCAGCTTGGGATTGCTGCTCAGGTGTATGTGATCAAGGTCACTGTTACAGGCTGTCCAGCATCCCTGAAATTCCTAAAAAATCCTAATGTTTTTCAGTTTGTCTATAATTCCTAAAAAAATGAAAAATTCAAAGAGAATTCCTAAAAATGCCCTATTTTTTCACAAAAATTCCTAATTTTTTAATCTTTTGTTATAAACATACTTATAACTTTGAAAATGTTTTCATTATACCCCCAAAAACGAAGTTTGGGGGGGTATATAGGAGTCACCCGGTGGTCGGGCGGTCCAGACGTCCGTTGCATTTTCCTTGTCCGGAGCATAACTTGAAAACTAATGGTTGGAATTCAATATAACTACATACAATGGTCAAGCACATTGAGAGGAAGTGCAGTGCACAAGAACCATAACTATCTTGACTAATTACAGAGTTATTGCCCTTTGTTACTTTTCCTTGTCCGGGGCATAACTTGAAAACTACTGGTTGGAATTCAAAACAACTTCATAAAATTGTCAAACACAATAAGGGGAAGTGCAGTGCACAAGAACCATAACTCTATCTAAAGTAATTACAGAGTTATTGACCTTTGTTACTTTTCCATTGATTTTTTTGTCCGGACCATAACTTCAAGACTAATGGTTGGAATTCAGTATAACTTCATACAATGGTCAAGCACATTGAGAGGAAGTGCAGTGCATAAGAACCATAACTCTATCTTGACTAATTACAGAGTTATTGCCCTTTGTTACTTTTCCTTGTCCGGGGCATAACTTGAAAAATACTGGTTGGAATTCAAAACAACTTAATACAATTGTCAAACACAATAAGGGGAAGTGCAGTGCACAAGAACCATAACTCTATCTAAAGTAATTACAGAGTTATTGCCCTCTGTTACTTTTCCATTGCCTTTTTTGTCCGGACCATAACTTGAAGACTAATGGTTGGAATTCAATATAACTTCATACAATGGTCAAGCACATTGAGAGAAAGTGCAGTGCACAAGAACCATAACTCCATCTTGACTAATTACAGAGTTATTGCCCTTTTGTTACTTTTCCTTGTCCACAGCATAACTTGAAAACTACTGTTTGGAATTCAATACAACTTCATACAGTTGTCAAGAACATTAAAAGGAAGTGCAGTGCACAAGAGCCATAACTCCATTTTGACAAAATACAGAGTTACTGCCCTTTGATACTTTTCCTTGTCAGGAGCATAACTTAAAACGTACTGGTTGGAATTCAAAACAACTTCATACAATGGTCAAGCACAATAAGAGGAAGTGCAGTGCACAAGAACTATAACTTTATCTTCAGTATTTATAGAGTCATTGCCCTTTGTTCCTTTTCTTTGTCTTTCTGACTTATTACAGAGTAATTCTAAACTTTCTACAGAGTAATTCAATTAAACTTCATCAATGCCAACCACATTGAAAAGGAAATGCAACAGAGTAATATCAAAGAACCATAAGAACCACAACTATCTTTAATTGCCCACAACCATAACTCTATATTTCAATTCTTTTACAAGGTATTCTGTTACTAGTAACATCCTCATTTCCGAAGCAGTCTTGTGGGGGTATTAATCACATTTAGTGATAGTTCTAGTTTAAATTATGTTTTAATGTGGTTTTCAGCAGACATTATTCAGAGTAGGCAGTTAGACCCTGCAGAAATGATCACAGACATAACAAAGTCAACCTTGTTTTAAACATGCTAAAAAATGTTTTGGCATTGATTTGCCAACTCAAAATTGGTGACATTGAAATGGTTTTGTTCCAACTAGACTTTAACTATGTCCATTACTTTGCTATTTCATAATCAAAGCTACTAATTTATCCTTTCAGATGCCTATGTAGGAGAAATTGCTCATTTTTGCCACAAAGTTTTCAATTTTATTCAATACTTGTTCTTTCATTCATATGGTGCAATTCAGGAAAATGCAGACTCCTAAATTAATCACACTAAAAACAATTTGGCAGTTCACTAATATAGAGCTAATTTCCAATTTCCATGTACATACAATTTGCAGTTATATGATCTAGATAGACTGCAATTGAATGGTCTGCGTGATGAAGTTTTTTGATGTGCATTTCTGTTTGTTGTTGATTACAGATGCTTCCCATTTGTTCAAATGACTGTGCTAAGGCCAATGCCTTTTCACTTCCTACTTGTACAAACAATTTCCTTTTAGACACTAATGGTTATAACATTCCTAAAACATAGGTAGAACATGTTCTTTTGACATGTTCAGCCATTGAAAAAACATATTTCAAATATGGTTTGAACATGGTTTGACTATGACCTGATGATTTCCGCAGGGAGGCAGTTGACCAGTGAGTCTATTTATTCACTGATAACTATGGAACACTGGTATGGACACCTTTGCTCTAACTTAACTAGAGCATTATTTGTGAGTTACTTTTGTGTCGGGGCGTCCGTGGCCGAGGGGTTAAGGTCGTTGACTTCAAACCACTTGCCCCTCACCACTGTGGGTTTGAATCCTGACAGGGACTTTGGATTCTTTCATGTGAGGAAGCTATCCAGCTAGCTTATGGAACGTTGGTGGTTCTACTCAGGTGCCCGATTGTGCCTGAAATGGTGCACGGAAGGGCACCTCAGGTCTTCCTCCAGCAGTATAGCTGGAACGTGGCCAAATGACTTATACTGTTGTGTAAACTTTTGTGTCAAATAAGCAAAGGTTAGCCCATACCATGGTCTTTTGCATAGTTTAGTTAAAAAAATTCCTAATTTTAGCCCTAAATATCTTTTGTTAATTTAAAATTCCTATTTTGCCCTAAAATATGCCCTTATTATAGTCCCCTACCGGTTTAACAGGAGGGGACTTTAGGTTTACCCTCCGTCCGTCTGTCTGTCTGTCCGTCTGTCTGTCAGTCCGTCAGACCGTCCGTCCACAAAACTGGATCCCGCGATAACGCAAAAAGTACTGAAAATATTTTTATGAAACTTGATATATGGATAGATGGCAGTATGGAGATTATGCACATCTTTTTCTTTTCTTCCTATGTTGAAAATTCTGGTTGCTATGGCAACAAATAGTCTGAAAATATGGCAAATTTAACACATAAACTTGATCCAGTGATAACTCAAAAAGTACTGAAAATATTTTTATGAAACATAAAATATGGGTAGGTGGCAGTCTGCAGATTATGCACATATTTTTCTTTTCTTCCTATGTTGAAAATTCTGGTTGCTATGGCAACAAATAGCCTGGATTTCAAGATTTCTGATTTATTTTTTTCAGCTTTTTCACTATAAGTTCTTTATTTCTTAAGGTGTTTACTTCAAACTTTAAATATAAGTTTCTGGTCATCAACCACATCATATGTGACAAGCACAAAAATTATCAGTATTACCTCCCTTGAACTTAGAATTTTTATGAAAAAAATGTTTTTAAATAACTTCTTTATTTCCTAATGTATCTGCTTCAAACTTCATATATATGGTTCTTATTATCACTCAACATTTTTGAGAAGGTTAAATACTCTAGCAAGACTATTTCCAGAATTATGTCCCCCTTGAACTTAGATTTTTTTCGAGAAATTGGTATTTTTTACTCCAACTTCTTCATTCCTTATAGATTTACTTTAAAATCCCACATCGTAATAATATGACAAGGTTGTATAAACATAATTGCCTTACTAGGCAGGGAAACTTAACACATTACTGTGAAATAGACAAACTTAGAACTCAAAGATTTAAGTTCATTCATGTCATTCATTCACTGGTAAAATTGAAATCAGAATGTTGCTGGGGTTCTAACCGGTAGGGGACTTATGGATTGCTTGCAATACTATGATAATTGCTTGTTTTATGTTGGAAGGTGCTGGACAGCCTGCTGTTACTAAAAATAGAAATTCAGTTTCCGCAAGATAACTTCAGTTTACTTTGGCCTATTGACAACAAACTTAGTGTATGGATAGCTTACTGGGGATAACTACCCAGGCTATGATTAAGCTTAAGGTCACTTAATTGCTAAAAATAGAAATTCAGTTTTTGCTCAATAACTTGAGTTAGTTGTGAGCTATTGACAGCAAATTTGGTGTGTGGCTAGCTTATATCAGGATGCAACTTGGGATTGCTACCCAGATGTCTTTGATCAAGGTCAATGTTGCTAAAAATAGAAATTCAATCGCCGCATAATAACTTTAGTTTGCTTACACCTATTGACACCAAATTTAGTATTTGGGTAGCTTACATCAAGAGGCAACTAGGGATTGCTAACCAGGTGTCTGTGAACAAGGTCAAGGTCACTGTTGCTTTAAAAAAAAAAATCAGTTTTCAAAGTTGCTTGACTTGAGGTTGCTTTACCAAGCTTGCTGTGTGGCAGGTTTTGATGGCCACTTAGATACACCTACTTTAGCTGTATGAAATAGGCATGGATTATGGTCTTCCTATTCATATTTTCCTTATTTTCACTTTCTGTAGTGCAGAACACTGGTTCCGTCCATGTCTTTTGTAAACACATGCTTGGTATATGTTGCTTAACTGTTTTATTTGGTA